TTAATATATAAAATAATTTTATAATTATCCATTAATTTAAATTAATGAAACAAAGTATCAAATAATTTTTAAACTTTTTAAAAATTTACAAATTTGATCTATACATTAGAACTTTTAATTAAACAGTTAGATTAAAATTTGAATGTAAAACATGTGTTATTAAATAGAATAAATTTAGGTAGACTTATTCCTAGAATAATAAATCCCTCTCTCTCTTTCTCTCTCTCTCTCTCTCTCTATATATATATATATATATAGATATATATATATATATATATATATATATATATATATATATATATATATGTGTGTGTGTATATATATTAATTAGGATCAAATACAGAGATTAGAGAATTTACTGTCTAAAAAATATAGAGAATTTATTGTTTCATTAAGGAACTAATCAAAATCAAATAGAGAGAATTTATGGATTAGATCCTATCTCGAGGATAGAGTTACAATTGAAGATGTAATTTTTCTTAAAATAAACTAATTTAGTGGGAGAAACTTTTAATTACATATACAAAAGTTTAAATGTGATTTTATTTTTTGCAAAATAAGGAAATTTTGATTTTGGTCTTTTAATTTTTAAAATTTTTAATTTTTTAAAAACTTGTAAATACTAATTTTGGTTTTTATAAAATGAGAAAATTTTGAATTTGTGTAAAATATTTTTTGTAAAAATCCACTATGGTCCTTACATGTAACGACATAATAACAAGCAGTAGAAAAATAATTAAAAACTTAGACTTGTATAGATATAAATACGTAAATATGTATGCATACAAGGTAAAACGACTTTATAAATATATGCAATATAAATACAATAATTTAATAAAAGTAAACTATACAATATAAATGGTTGATTAAGTAATTTATACTATCAACTAACTATGCCAAAGTAGCACAAAATATTAACATAGCCAATCTCAATGTGACCGCCAAAATAGCTCCCACAAAATGTTATTCATATTATATTCTTATATCAAGTATAATCATCACAATTTATCCACATGAAAATGCACAAGGGTAAACTAGAGTTTAAAAAAATAACATATTTACAACACAAGGTATCCACAACATTAAAATATTATCACATCTTCACTGCATTTTCAACACTATCAACATATAACATCACAACATAACCAACATATATCATCATGAACAACTTAGTTTATTACAACATAGTATTAACTTGAACATCACTACATCAACAACTTAGATTGTTCATCACAACAATGAAATATATACAACATAACAACTACATGTGTTGCCACACATTTCAACTAGGAGATATTTTATAACACAAGGTGAGTAGTTTAAATGGATTGACTCTATCAAACCAACAACATAGAGTGATCTTTTTGGGCTTGCAAGATCAATAATAACTTGGATATCAATCCATAACACAACAACTTGGTTTCTTGCCATACTAACACTTGCCATTGTTTAAGCCGAGAGTTCTAGCTTGGCCATGCTTAGAGCCACTCCACTAGGGCTTGACGTCACCAAGTTAGAGATCTTCTAGTGCTTTTATGCTCAATGCCATTCAAACCACGTATAACACCATTCCAATTCGAGATGAGTCTCTTTCCTCATGCTTGATGCGTACTAATCTTGCATTCAACATGACAAGACAAAAGGCCTTATATTGAAATCACGCTCGACATAATGTGAGTTCTAGACCATTCTAGAACAAGAATCTGCCTCAAAGGACCTGAAACTCAAAAAATTCCAAGCATACAACACTACAATCAACTATATACATCACGACAACATATAAATGTGAAGTTAGCGAATAAATACATAAAAGGGAGGTTGAATATGTGTGTGTATAAAGGAAGGAATTTTAAAATTATTTTCGCAAGAAGACCTTTGTTCGTCCAAAAAATATGTTTTAGAACGTTTGACGAGTCTGCATAATCTGCTTAGCAAATGATAGTTATGTCTGAGAGTTTTATCAATTGCTTTAGGAAGATGTTTCTTAAAATAATAAGTTAAATATTCGAATCTTCCATTTAAAGATAGTTGTACTTTGAAAACAAGCAGTAGGAGAAACTTCTAGTTCAATGAATAAGCTAAACAAAGTTTGCGTCTGCATCTGAAAATTTGTTTCAATGAAAAATAAATGCTGGACAAAATTTTATAAACTGATTTGGCAGTTAAGTAAAATTTATGCCTGAAATGTAAATCAGTAGTGCAAACATTTTTATACTGGTTCACTCAACCTGAACTACGTCCAATCTCCTTCAATAGAAGAGTTTCACTAAGTATGCAATTAAGTACACAAGTATTATCGACCACTTCTGGCCCGTTGACTTCACTCATCAACGCTAGTATTTTCTTATCAACCTTTTTAGAGGCTAGCATTGAGTATTATCATCCACTCCTTGACTAGTATTCTTAAACCACTTCTGATTCTCAAGTATTCTCGACTACTCCTAGCCCGCCAGCTTCACTCACTAGTGCTAGTATTCTTTCTTCAGCCACTTCTGACTCCTAGTGAGTATTATCGACCACCTCCTGGCCCGTTGGCTTCACTCACCAACACTAGTATTCTTAAACCACTTCTGATTCTCAAGTATTCTCGACTACTCCTAGCCCGCCAGCTTCACTCACTAGTGCTAGTATTCTTTCTTCAGCCACTTCTGACTCCTAGTGAGTATTATCGACCACCTCCTGGCCCGTTGGCTTCACTCACCAACGCTAGTATTCTCTTCTCGGCCACTTCTGGCTAGTAGTGAGTATTTTTTGACAAGCCCCTCTGAGCTTTACAAGTATTCTTCAAACTTTATAGATGAATAACATTTTTGGTTTGAGTGCATGGGTTACTCTCACAGAGAGGATATATTTCTATATTACACTCACCAAGGTATTCTACCATAGTTTTTCAGAGATAAACTACAATATTACATTGTACATTTGACTATGAACACTCATCTCTAATCTCTCGATCTCTTAGGCTAGATATTACATTCATGCTTTTGTTGAGAGCCCGGGGCAATGCCTCTAGTCATCCTGTTGCATCTCGCCAACCTTTTTCGGTTTGAGGTTATTGCATATTTATAGGCTTATAAGATTTTCCCGTTGCATATGCATGTTAAAACAGATATAGTCATTCATGACTCGTTTGATCTTCTCATTTAATGCTTAGAATCTTTGCATTAAATGTTGCTTCCAGTTCATAGACATTTCGTGATTTCTAAATCTGTAGTTTCTGACTTTCTCATGAACCTAGGAATTAGCTGCAGAGATGTTATCTTTATCAGAAAAGTAGGTGTCCTTTTTCTGACACATTCATGATTTGATGTTTTTGTGCTTACTTTTCTTCTTTCTTCTTCTTTTCGTCATTTGATAGCGTCGTAAGTCCTTTTATGGGTATAGACAATGTTTGATTCGTTCCTCGAATCTTGTTCCTTCGAAACCTTCCATGAGGTCTTCGTCTACTTCTGATAGTTCATGTGTGACTCAGGTTTCGAACTTCGTCTGCCTGTATGTTCTTAACACATTGATCTTTTTCTTTTATTTTAGGCAACTTATATGTGGACAATTTGCCAGTCTGTGCTATCCTTCGTCTGATTACTATTGTTGACTCATACTTGTTTGATGCTTGAAGCCTTGTTCTTTAACTGGCTTTTCGTCCGATTGGGAATTATGCTTGGTTTTGATACTCGATCAATTTCCTTCTGAAGTTTGAAGCGCTTAGCCTTTATCTTGGTTCTGGTATAGGGAATTCATATTGCCTGTACTTATATTTTTCTGAAATACTAGCACACTTGTTAGAAATAACAACATGTATTATATTTGTCTCATTCAAAACCATATTGAAAATTACTTTCGTCTTCGTCTAACTTAACAAAATGCACTCAAAATCAACATGCAACGACTAGAAATCAAATCACCATTTTCATTTTAACATGCTTCAAAACTCAAAATCCTAAACTTGGGTCATCCCACTTAAACTCATACATCTCAATAGATAATCATATCAAAGCCAACCACATTAATGCAACAACTTCACACAATTTCAAGAATCTCTAGCTTCCCTTGCCTCTTGATCAATTCGAAGACGAGGAAAGGGGAAAGGAGGGAAGCAACTCTGACAAAAACAAAAATGGGATTCAAGTCTCTAGTGACCTAAATCATCAACGTGACAACAAGAATTAAGCTTAGGGGAAGATCACCCTCAAGGAGAAGGGTTAGATACAAAAATTAATGGTTTCAAAGCTTCTCTCTCTAATTCCTCTCTATAGACTTTTGAAGACTTGAACTTATAAAACTAAATTTTAAATAAAAACTTTAAATACTTACCCCTCTAGGTCAACTAGACCTTTGTCTAGAGAAACTCTCAAGTAACACAAAATTCTAGAGGAATCACTTAATTCCAAAGTTTCTCAATACATAACAAATTACTAACACAACAACACATAAATCAAGAACAATAATCAACACTAAAATGTTATAATGTTTCTTTGATTTTCGTCTTGTAAAATCTAAAATCACTATTTTATCTCAAATGATGATTTTATGATAGATAAATAATATTTATTTTAAGAACCTATAAAAAATTTAGAAGTGTCATGTACTAACATAATATAACTAATAACAATTATGGGAAACACATGAAATCACTACTCAACCTCTTAATAAATAAATAAACATTTAATAATGATTCCACAATAACATGAATTAAAATCAATCATTCAAAATTTTGGAGAAATAAAAAAAAATATTTATCGAAACAAAAATCAAAACTAATTAATAAGAACTAAAACCATAATAAATCTAAAAAAAATCGAAAACTATCTTTGACAAAAAAAAAAAATGAAATAGAAACTATTAAGAGAAGCTTTTCAAATTTGAAAAATGAAATTACTATAATAGAATGTAATACAAGACATGGCATCTGTTTTATTGTTTAAAAAAGTTTGATGAGACCGATCTTTGATAACGTAACAGCCCCCTTAAACCTTGGGAAAACGCTTAGCCACACCAAATGGCAAGTCCAGTGTCAATTCCCAAGCTCAGAAAACGAGAGCGGACCCACCAAATCCCCCCTCTCTATGAATCATCCCATTTTCTGCATGCATTCTGCACCTTCCAACAATCACCTCTCTCCTCCTTCTTACCAACACGTTACACTCTCTCTCCTTCAAAAACCAAAACGCAATTTCCACTGAACCACCACCACCGATGACGACGAAGCACAGTATCCCGTGGTCAACGATCGGCGTGGTGATTGCGTGGTACACTTCCAACATCGGCGTCCTCCTTCTCAACAAGTACTTGCTCTCCAACTACGGCTTCAGCTTCCCCGTCTTCCTCACCACGTGTCACATGATGCTCTGCTCCGTTTTCAGCTACGTCATCTCCGTCACCGGCGTCGTTCCTCTCCAGACCCTGCGCTCCAGGAACCAGTTCGCCAAGGTCGTCGCGCTCAGCGTCGTTTTCTGCTTCTCCGTCGTCTGCGGGAACGTCTCGCTTAGGTACATTCCTGTCTCCTTTAACCAGGCCATCGGCGCCACCACCCCCTTCTTCACCGCCCTTTTCGCTTACGCCGTCACCGCCAAGAGGGAGGCCTGGCTCACTTACGCCACGCTTTTGCCTGTTGTTACGGGTGTCATAATTGCCAGTGGGGTAAGTAAATAGCTTCCATCTTCAATCGTTTTAGATGATCAAATTTTGGGGTGTGTTGCATCGCTTTAAATTGGAATGGAATCAAGTGAAGTTTTCTACACTTGTTTTTTTTTTTTTTTTTTTTTTTTAAAAATCTTTTTTTTTTTTTTTTTTTTTTTTTTTTTTTTTTTTTTTTAATAATCATTTTATTTTATTGGTACCAAATATCACCCATGAATGATATCCTTTGAAAATTTGGCTAGCTACTTTTATTATAATCTCTCTTTCTAATCACAATTTTTCTATCCACTTAACAAGATTGATCGTAGACACTATTTGAATCAATGACTTGTTAATATATATGCCTAAATTATATATTTCTTTTTCTTAGCTTCTGTTTGGTTCTTTAGTGTTGGATTTGGAAGTCAACAAATGTTGTATCAATTTTGTAGTAAAGAATGTTGCCTCGTTGTTAATTAACTGCGTGGACCAACTAGTATGGGATACTGCATGTTAATTAGTGGTTTTGAGTTTGAATTTGAGTATGCAGATGCAATAAATACTTAGATAGAGAATTTTGTTATTTTGAAGAAAAAAATGCTTTTGGAAATTTGATAGTTGTTATAGACAAAGGGCGTGATTGCCTATTAGGAAAGGCTTCAGTCTCTTGAGTTGAACATGCCTATGCTTGGATAAAATTACTAGAAGACAAGGGAATGAGGAGATTTAAGTTGGTCCCATCTCTCAAAATTCTTTTGGAAAAGTGACACATTTTTCACTTTGCTTTACGCATACGAGCAAATGGAAAATGAATTCTTATCCTCTATTTTTTTTTTCTACAATTTGTGCCAAACTTCCAAAAACTATTAAAAATTTGCTGGTAGCATTTGAATTGTCAGTACATGTACGTTATGATGTGAACTTCATTCTTGCCATTTATTTTGTTGATAAGTTTAGATACTTTCAGTAAATTGATGGCTTTGTCAGAACCGAGCTTATTTCAATTTTCTTTTTTTTTTTTGAACGGCAAATGTTAATTGTTAGTGGGAAGATTTGAACCCACACCCTCTTAGTCACTCAACCCTATATCCCTCTCTCCAAACCACTTGGACCACCCTTATCACTCCTTATTTCAATTATTTTGTCTATGAATTTATGTGCATAACCACTGTGATCAAAATGAGAAACTTCTGAACATTCCCTGGGGGTCATATAGAGATAGTCCAAGGCATCAGACACGGATATAGAAAGTGGGAGGGAAAGTTAAGATATCAAACACATTGCTGGTAATGTTGGGTAAAGGAGATTGGCTTAAAATTAAACTGTGTTTGGGATCAGGAAAGATGTTAGGCCCTGTTTGTCTTGCAATCAAAAAATTTCCACCCTGTGCACACATACCAACGTAAAGTTTATGTTTGAAATTAATTTGAACACATTATTTTAACATTTACCAGATTAAAATCAGCACCATTAATCGGAGATTACCTTTTATGTTCTTAATTTATTATGAGTCTATTTACGAGTCATCTACTCATTTTTTTTTATAAAAGTGTATTCATTTAGTGGACAACAAATACTATAAGTCATATTCATTGATTGAAAACATTATTCTTTAACTTTTGAGTAATGTAATTAAATATAATTACCGCCAATACTATTTAATTCTATGAGTGTTTTTGGAATAAAATTTCAAATTATGTATTATTAATTACAACTAACTATTTTAACTAATTTTATTGGTATTGATGAATTATATATTTATATATATAAGAAGGGAGTTAGTATTAAACTATAAAACGAAGGGGCACCTGGCACAGAAGGGTGAAAATTCTAGTTGCAATTTCTTGAAAATTCAAGGGAATGCAAGCTTAATAATACCTTCAACTCATTTTTTGTATAGGAACAACATGGTTTAATTTATGAGTGACAGTCCTTTATCCGTCTTTCCTACGTCAATTTCTTTAAGCCACCTATTTTCTTTTCAGTTTTTAATCTTAACTATTCTAATATTCTAAAAACCATCCTATCATTACTTGTTTTAATCTCTCCAAGAATCAATTTGTTTTGTCCCAACCTCAATGTGGCACTTATCCTGCAGGGTGAGCCAAGTTTTCATCTGTTTGGATTTGTAATCTGTGTTTCATCGACTGCTGCCAGAGCATTTAAATCAGTGCTTCAAGATATTTTGTTGTCTTCAGAGGGGTAATGAATCTGACTGCTTTGTCCTTGTTGTAGCAACATGATTGAAATAAAGAATTATAGTTTCTGAATGGCACTAAGTGCTACCGTACTCTACTTCACTTATAAACCAGCATAAAATAACTTCGATGTTGTTCAGGGAAAAGTTGAATTCTATGAACCTGCTGCTTTATATGGCACCTATAGCTATGATGGTCTTACTTCCTGCAACATTGTTGATGGAGGGAAACGTGATTCGAATCACAACAGATCTTGCAAGAAAGGATATCAGAATTTTTTGGTATCTGCTTCTCAGTTCTTCTCTTGCATATTTTGTGAACCTGACTAATTTTTTGGTGACCAAACATACAAGTGCACTTACCCTTCAGGTATGTCCTAATACCATAGAACCAATTCTTGTTTGATAAGGCATACCATATGGAAATAACTTGACAGAATAAGGACTCATTTTAACAAATTTTCTTCATTTCACATACTAATTTCTAAGCGGAGCAAAATTAAATGAAGCTAACAACACTTGTTGAACATTCTTCTTTAAGATGATCCATTGAATGACATAATGATTCTACCATCCAGGGAATAGTAGATATTCTCTTGGTAGTTGAATGAACCACTAATTTAACTTCCATTTTTCTTGGTATTTGGAAATGAACCACTAGATATATTTGATACAATGTGAATCTGAATGGCTAAATCTTTCCAGGTTTTAGGAAATGCAAAGGGGGCAGTGGCTGTGGTGGTCTCAATTTTGATATTCAAAAACCCCATTTCAATGATAGGAATGCTTGGCTATGCACTCACTGTTGTTGGAGTTATATTGTACAGTGAAACCAAAAAGAGGTATAGCAGAAATTAGAAAAATTATTAACTAGAATACCAATCAAGGTAGAGTGTGATTTACCACGAGCGAGAGGACCAACAAGCTATTCATATAAAATTATGAGCTTGCAGCAACCACTTTGTTACACGTGAATAGTGAACACGAATATTTTTTCCCCACCTATTTCATTCATTGCAATTTGCAAGCGTTGTGGAGGTAGTCACACTTTCATTCTCATTCACTTATTCAGTCATTTTTAATTTGCTTTGCTGTTCCTTCAATCACTGCAACTTCTTTTTCATAGCATTTAAAAAGGAACTCCAATAATTTAGCGAGATGACCTGCCACGTACATGACAATGCAAGTTTTGTATTTATATTTATCCTTTTTAAATTTTAGGAAAATGCGAACTAGTAGTATATTGGATAAAGTTTGTTAATGTACTTCATCGTAATTTTTAATAAAAAAAATATTTATTAATTCTTTAACCGATATTTATTTTTATAAGATCTCACTTGTTTAATACCAATCACGAAATAGGTAAAAAGCTTGCACAGAACCTTGTCATTCGAAATTTGGACACGGCAGTTTTCAGTTTCAACGCCATTAGAACATGTCGCAGAGTTATTTGTCAAAATCCATGTATTCATAGAACATCGTCATTTTCCAAAAGCATAAAAGATTATCTTCTCAAACAATCATATACATCTAGTCAGCAAATACAGGTGAGCAAAAGGTGTTACACTTTTTTTTCTTCTGTTTTTTTTTTTTTTTTTTTTAAAAGAGTTGTTACAATTTTGTAAAAGTTGATGAAAAAAAAAAACTGGCTGAAAGCTGAAAAGTTAATTGGCAGTTAAATATTGATCGTTGGTAATTGAAAGCTGTTAAGTTAGTTTATTGAACTATAAGATTTTATTTTTCATCTCTCTGAAAATTAAAACAAACTAAGAACGAGGAAATAAAACTCTAGCTATATCAGCGAACAAAGTTTGACGCAGAGGAGGAAGCCAAGAGTCAAAGATGATAACCAAAGTTGATTCCTAACAACAAACTAAGTCAACTAATCAGCACACCCATTATCTTCACGAAGGCTGAAATGTAGGGATGGCAACGGGCAGGTCGGGTACGGGTTTCATAATACCCGTCCCCGTCCCTGCGAGTCAAACCCATCCCCATTCCCATACCCGTACCCGTCGGGTATGGAATTTTTATCCACATCCCCGTCCCCGTCGGGTATCGGGTATACCTGTATCCGTACCCGTCAATTTTTTTATTTTTTATTTTTCGTAAAAAAAATAATATTTTTAAATTATTTTTTTATTATATTATAATTATAATTAGGTTATTTTTCTATCTTATATTATAATAAATAATCACACATAAAAAAATATTAAAATTCTTTAATATAATTAAATTGAAAGTGTATTAAATTAAAAATGGAAACGGGGACGGGTACGGGTACAGGACGAGTAAGTACATACCCGAACTCGTACCCGTACCCGATTTAATATATCGGGTTTTACCCGTACCCGTCCCCGTACCCGGTCAAACCGGATATTCCCTGTCAAAGTCGGGACGGGTTCGGGTATTACCCGCGGGTACGGGTATATTTGTCATCTCTACTGAAATGTGATATTGAGTTATAAGAGTTTGGTAAAATATATGTTGAAATAGCTTAAAAATACAAAACAATAGAAATGAATATGTATATATAATATTTTATATGAATATTAATTTATTTTATTGATAAAAATATATATTGGGTATTTAAAATTTAAGTTTTTAATTAATTTTAAATTAGTGCAATTTTTATTATAGATTAATTATTTTAATTATATTTTTAGTTTTAATTATTATAACTTTTTTAGATAATATATTTTTTATAATCATATTATTAGTACAAAATATTTATTAATTTCATTAATATTTTTTTTTATATTGTGTATTCTACTAGTCTTATATTGAGTCTTAAAATATTTTCAAACAAGTTTTAAAATGAAATAAAACATCCAATTAAGTAAAAATCATTCTTTCATTATTTTAATTAAAAGAATTGAGACATCTCGTAATTCTAATAGTTACATAAATAGAATATTAAATAGTTGTGGATGATTATTCAAAAGAGGATGATAAATTATCTTTTTTAACATTTAAGAGATATAATAATCTAGTTAAAAGTGAAAACAAGAAATGGTTACATATTATGATATCTACTTTATGATACATATAGATTGGTGTAATAGATAGAATATCTTGAAGCATAATGTTAAAAATAATAAATTAAATAAATATAAATAGTGTAATGGTGAAAATATATAGTTTAATATAAAAATAAAAAAATATAATAAACTTATTATATATCATTATTAGTATCTTGAAGTTTAGTACTGAAATAATAAAATAAATATTGAAAGGGTTTAATGAATATGAGTTGTCAAGAAAAAAAAAAATTTTACATTGTCAGTAAATTAAAAATTATTTTTAATAATTTTTAAGATAGTTATTATTAGAGTCAATAAACTTCATACATGTTAATTTGTGATTAATTTATAATGCAAAAGAAAAAATTTTACATTAACAATGTATATTTTTTTCTTGTAAATAGTTTACTTTACATTAACAATGTATTTTTTTTTCCCTCATATTGTAAATAGTTTAATGGTTGCTTAAAATAAACTTTAAAATATATATTCGTTTTAAAAAAATAACAAAATAAAACAAAATCCTATTATTTATAAGTGGAAGATGAGAAAATAAAATAAAATTATACATTATATAAAAATGATAAAAAGGAAAATAAATAAATATTTAAAGGATAAAAAAGAGTATTCATATTAATTATAAAAGAGTGTATCTCATTTGGTGTCCACATTTTCTTTACCTATTTTAAGCTCATAATTGTTAAAGAAATTGTCATGAATATAAAATCAACTAAAACTATCATAAAAATTTATACTAATTATAAAAAAGATATCTCATTTTCTGTACACATTTTCTTTACCTATTTTAACACTATAACTACTAAAGAAACTGTCAAAAATATAAAAACTACTAGAATTATATAACAAATTATTATTTCCTTTATCTTTCACAGAGCTAAGTAATGATTTTTTTCATTATTGCTATTATATATAAAGTGGACAATAATTTTTTTTTTCGTCCTTGGAGTATCTATCACCGATAACAGTGACTAATCTCCTCGCTACGTTGGAGGCACCTCAAAGGGTAGGATAGCTGGCCCCAAGATTTAACGCGGCTACATACACAAGGCAAGATTTGAATCTCTGACCTTACTTATTTATCAAGTCTTTCTTCTTCTTCTTTTAATTTTTCTTCTTTTTGTCTCTAGATTGTCTATTCTAAAGAGTCCACATAAGAAATGTGAGGAGAAATTTTATTTTTTTTAATAAAGAAATATAACACCTTCTCCTTATGTCAAAATAAAGTAATTAATATCTTCAATTATAATTTTCTGTTTAAGCTAACAATTGAATTCAGTTTCAATTACAATTTTATACTCAAACTAAAATTTGAATTCATATTCAAATTAGTTAAAGAATACAAGTGTGAATCCTTAAAATAAGATTTTAATATATGCTTAGAATTTTGTAAATAATTAATGTATTGAATTGTTATTTTAGTATTTATAATATACATGTTAAACATTTATTTTATATAACAAAAAATTATATAAAATAAATATCCTATTTAAATTTTATAATAAATATATGCATTATATTTTAAATTTATAAAAAAAATAATTTATATTTTTATACTTTTTAATTATTGATAATTTATAAAATATTTAAATTTAATTTATAAAGACCAAACTTATG